AGTCCGCGGCCGTTTTTCCGCCCTGCCGCGCAGTCCGCGGCCGTTTTTCCGCCCTTGATGCATGGTCCGTGGCCGCCGGGAAGGATTTACGGGAATTACATTGAACCTTATGGGAAAATTTGCTTCGGGTTGCGAACAAATCGGGTTGCGACCATAGTCATGGAATGGATTAAATTCGTAACCCGAGGTACCACTGTATTTGGAAAGGTGAGGACCATAGTAAGTGAGATAATAATGCAGAATGGATGGGGCCACATGATATAATTTATGGATTTTGAGAAGGGAGAGTTGCAATTTTTTTTAATATCAGACTCTTTTAGGGCTTTCACTACTTTTGGGGGGCTGTTTCCAGTTTCAAAATGTAAGGAAATTACTCCATTGATTTTCATAATTGTGGTGAGAAGGGATTTCAGAGGTGCAAATCCACCCCTCAGATTCTGTAGAATCCATTCAGTCCTAGAAGTTTCTAGTCGTCTGCTCTTGATTTATGAGTTAGAGTTGTGTGGTAATAGCGAAATATGGCTTATTCAATAAACTGCATTTATGAAAACCACAGCTTAGTGCAATAAATGTACCAAGCACCTGATAATGATTCTCAAAAGGTGTATCAGATCTTATTTGAAGATATAAATATGGGGGTATAGGAGCTGGCTTGAAAGAGGAAAGTCTTTAGGTATGAATAAACTTGCTTTTTTAATCCTAGTTCTGTTTGCAAAATTTTAAGATTGAAATAAATTCATTTTGTAAAATGTACATCTCTGTGTCTTTTTATAAAATCTGTTTTGCAGATCCTCTTACTTCACCTGGTTCATCCTTGTTTAATGACTTTGCTGCCCTCAGCTTATCTCAAAGGAGAAAAGTAAGTATCACCAAACTTTATAATTTCTGTATTTAAATAATGAAAAATTATAGTGCACTGTGTGTATGTACAGCTCTTGAAACCAGCATTAATAGTAGCATATTAAGCAATTTTGTGAATTTTATTTTGAAATGCAGTTACTCAATTATTTATAATTACCCAGAACAGGTTTCCTCAACTATATGCCCTATTCCTCATAAACATTCAGTATGAATTTTCATACTTAATTCTGATATATGATGATACTTTAAATAAATTTTCTTTTATTTAAATAAATGTTCAGAAACCTTCCCATAAAAGAACTTGATGAATTCACTGGGGAGAAAATTTTATGCAATAGAACTCCATAGGCTTAAAAATATGCAAACTATATATTGAATTGATTCCAGGTTAACCCCAAAATATAGTATACCACTGTTATAGTTTCAGAATCTTAATCCTTTTCTCAGTATAATTTCTGTTTCTTTCATAAAATTATTTGTTCAATATTAAATGTTCCCAAACTTACAAAGTAGTTATTTTCAGATTTGTGTATTTTCTTTTTAATTTGACAGTATGCCTAAAATAATGTTGATTTTTATTTTTTAAATATTTATGAAAATACTGCAACTAGCCTTGAAGTTTTTAATATTAAACAATGTCTCTTTCTTGATCCTTAAAGCATTCTAGCACATTTTAAGTATAGTAAACTACTAGAGATTGTTCTTAGTCCCAAGAATGTTCACTACATTATATTGATACTTGTTTTTGGATAGTGTTAAGCAAGAATTTCAGTTAAGAAACTGTTATCTTTTATCTAAAGCAAGCCTTGGCAAAATACGTGAGCCGTAATTTAATTTGTTGATCAGTGTTTTTATCAGGTTCAAAAGAAACAATCATTTAATACCGAAATTGTTGGTCTGATATGGAAGAACACATAACACAGTTCTAAAAATCTAAGAAGCTGAAGACTTCTACATTTGCTTTTGCCCAGGACTTCATGTACTTTTATTGTCCAACTCTAATGCCTGATTAATTTGGATTTTGTAGGGTTTTGAAGTATTGCAAAAATTAGCCTGCTTTTTGTCAAACTCGGGTTGGTAAAAATGCATGCATAGTTTCAGACAATGGAAATTTATTGTACTTTTGAAGTCTCTGAAAACTTCTAGTTACATTCAAGATCCGTATCTGCATTTGTATTCCATCCAGGAATGTGCTGAGGCATTTAAGAACTACTTTCCAAAGGAAATTGTGTATTTTCATGTGTCATTGCAACAGTTCTGAAAATACACTGATGTTCAAATGGTTCTGGAAATGTCACACAAGTAGATATGCTGGTTCTGACAAGATTATAAACCCACCATCAATCTTGCGTACTTGCAGAGGTATTTGCATTGTTTCCATTAGATACAAAAAATTAATCCCTATGCTGCATCTGACCAAAGATGATAAACTTGAAGAGACTGTTTCTTCTAGTATCATTTTGTCTTGTGCAAATTAAGCCTTGAAAATTAACCGAAAAGTATGGAATACATTCTCAGAATAAAATTCAGCAAAGTTAAATAATACATATATAATATAAAAGCCAGGATTTTTAATTAGTTTAATTACTTGCATTTATCTCACTTGAAATTTGGGTCTCAGTTTATAGAGAAATAACTTTTCTATAATACTTTGAGAAACTATCTACTAAACATTATATATAAATGAAAAATGTGGTATGAGTCCAGTTAGTGCAGTAAAAATATAAGCAGGAATATATTACACACACCACCATTATGCTAAATAAGATTTTTATGCAAACTAGTTCTGAATGTTATGATTAATTATGGTTTAAGAATTCTTAGCAAACAACTAAAAAAATAATCTTACCTAAATTTGGAGTTTGATATAAAAGGGAGAGATTAAGAACAAATCTCCTTCACGCAGGTCTCCTGAATACATATGGTTGGCTTTCACCTATAATTTACAATTGTTTCTCCTGAGTCATGCTTTTTGGGAGACTAAGTCCTCTACTAATTCTGGAGCTATTGGCATGACCCCACTAGGTTATCTGTCTTCCATTCTCTTCATCACATTTATTAGGAAGATAATCTCCATGAATGTTCTTCCAGCTGTCTGAGGATTATTGAACTTTGAACATTACATGGGACAAAATCTCTCTACCTTGCCTCCCTGGAGTGATTACTATCATTATTTACTTTTTTTTTTATTGATTATTTGCCATCAAGTAGTTTTCGACTCCTAGCAACCACATAGATATTCTCCATGATGATCAATCTCTAACCTGTTCTTTCAAGTATCCCATCAGTGCACTCATTGCCACTGTAACGGAGTCTGTCCACCTTACTGCTGGTCATCCTCTTCTTCTCTATTCTTCCACCTTTCCCAGTATTAAGAGCTTTTTGCAGAGAACTGAGTCTCTGCATAATGTGTCCAAAGTGGTATAATTTGGGCCTGGTCCTTTGTGCCTCTGTTTGTTTGTTTCCATCAGTTTGTTTTCCTGGCTGTCCATGATATTTTTAGGAATCTTCTCCAACACCAAAGTTCAAAAATATCAATACTCTTCCTATCCTGCTTCTTTAAAGTCTAACTTTTGCTTCTGTAAAGTGTCACAGGGAATACCATGGCTTGCATGATTCTGATCTTTGTGTGTATAGATACATCACAGCATTTGAATATATTTTCCAGTGGCTTTATGTCTGGTCTACGAAGAGCTAGTCTGCAGCATATTTCTTGACTGCTTGTTCCTTTGCTGTTGGTCGTTGATTCTAAAAGGCAGAAGCCACCCACTGCTTTGATATCTTCATTGTCATTTCTAAGGCTGGCTGTTCTACCTGTTGTCATTAGTTTGGTCTTCTTTATATTTAATTTTAGTCCCATTTTTTCACTTTGTTTTTTGACTTTTAGTACTAGGGCTTGCAGATCCTTTGCATTTTCAGATATATTTTCTAAACAGCATTTATATACCACTCCAGTCTAAAAAAACTCTGCTTGGTATACAGGAACATAATGTACTATTAAAATGTTTACATGGTCATAGCAACATAAATTAAATAGCTACTTACATATCTTCTCTACGGTCAAATGGCTACTAAAATAAAATGTTTTTTAGTGCCTTATAAAAAGTCAAGACATACCTCACGGGATAATGTGTTCTATAATGTGAGATCCCTAATACGCCCTATAGAATACTGACTGCCACTGCAATGAATGGTACTTCTATCTTATTTACAACAGATGAAAATAAGGAGTGGCTAATCAAAAAATATCAGCTTGCCAAAGGTCATGACAGCAGTTTTATGCCTTCAGTGTAGTACATGATTGAGTCTAATGATCTTCATTGTTAGGATGCTATCTTAAGGGACTAAGGACTTTTTAAGATGATTGCCACTTATTCGCAGTGATAATGACACTCTGGACAAGGTTCAAATCCTCAGTGTTAGTCTGGCCCACCTACAGACCCAACAAATGCAGTCTAGATCCTGATTTCAGAATTGTGTTTAATGGGATAGGACCCACACTGTGTGTGTTTCTCCAATTTCATTAATTAAGATGATAATGGCCAAAACTTGGATGGTGCTATTGCATCTTCCTAACATTCTGATGACTTTGCTAATTATAGTTCATATTATTTCTTCTTATCTAGTCACTTTCCCAAATCTCAAGACTCAGCAAAATGATAGGGTCATCCAAAATTTCATTTATCACTCAATGGAGCCTTGCCTTGCCTTTTTTCCTATTTCTGTTTTTCTGGTCTCCTTCCATAATTTTCTGGTCTCCTTCCATAAAAATCCTTCCGTATTTTTTTTTAGACACAACAAAAATAAACACTATACTCTTTAGCACATATATTGTGAGGGAAGGACACATTCCTATTATAAAAGTGTAATTGTAGATTCTGGATAAATGTCTGCTCTACCATAGAATCCAAATATGTGAATTTTTAGACGATCTCTCAAAAAAGCATGGTTAAAAGTAAGCATTCTACTATTCTACAAAGTTTATTTTGAAAATTGTACTGCAATATTATCTAGTGTTTCTTATATTTAAATATCAGCTTATCTATATGCAGCTTTAAAATATCTATGTTCTGTTTGGCAAATGATTAAAATATGGATAAATCTGGACATCAATTAAATGACTGAATTCTAATGGAAATCTAATTTCTAGCTTGGTCTGAAAATCTCTAGAACCTTCAGTCATAATTTAGGCAAATTATTGTGCTGTGAAGAGACAAACACAATTCAACAGTTTCAATCGAATTTTCTCAAACCTGATAATAAACAGCCTAGACAATTACGCTTTCATGTAAGCTTGCTCTGATGGATTGGATTCTTTTTTAAACAAAAACACTGCAGATTTGAGAAGGTGAAGAACAGCTATTTATGTCACTCAATTATGTTCTTTTTCCTAGACAGAATTGCTCGTACAAGGTACGCCTTGCTTTTTAAGTTGATGAATGACTGGTTGAGAATGTAATCTTGAGAGGAAAAATGGACGAGAAGGTTATATTTTCATACCCCTCTGTCTGTAGCTTTAAAAATAACACAGTATAGAACATTCTGTTGTAAAACAGAATTTTAAACTATCCTTGACTTTATGATAGAAAATGAAATTTTGTTAAGGACTACCTGATTGAGAATATATTTTAAGTCAAACTAATCTTGAAAAACAATTTTTCTTATCTCTGATTTTCCAAGACACACAGAATAGACAAGCACCTTGTTGTTTGTTTTAGCATATGCAGATATTTCCACAAATAAGATTGAATCTATAATTTTAATATGACTACAGTTTTTAACTTCTGCATATAAGAAAGTAAATATTAATGCTAATTAATTTAAAATGCATATCCTGTAAATCAGATGCTACAGTTGATATGCTTTTAATGCATTGTGATATAAATTGTTGCAATTGAATTGAATTTTACACTTAATCCTGTGTGTTATCTTTGAATCTTATTCACATACTCACAAATTAATACAATAAAATGAAATTTTACATTTTATACTATGGTAATTTTCTCCATTTATATTCTTTAACTTAGGAGCAATGTCCCTTATGCCCATTTTAGTGAGCAGCCAGATTTAAACTATTTTCATGCAGTTGAAGTCACAGGTAGTCCTTGCTTACCTACCATTTGTTCAGTGACTGAAGTTAAGACAGTGGTTTGAGCGAAGATGGCGTTCCCTCATCTCCCAAAGCTCTAAATCTGCCAGAGACCACTGTCTTGCGGTCTTCTCGTGAGGAGCAACTGTCTGGAGCACTTGTGGGCAATCTCAAGTCCTCCTTTTTTGGATAGGAATTACGAACACATGGTCTTCATTTTGCTGTGGTGATTGGCTCCACTTTTAGCGGAGCTGTCTTCAGTTCACCATTTCTTCCCCAGAAGTCCCCAATACATACTTAATTTCTGTAATAACCTTAGTATGGTATTTCTAAGTACCCTTTAATTGTTTTTAATTATTAGAATAAAATTTGCCATATAAGAATGTATGTAGAGGGCATAGCTGAACACTTAGGTAAATCTCATTACTTAAACCACAGAATATGCACTGTTATGTGCAAAATAGAAGGGTGCTTTGTATTTTCCCATTCTTTGTTCTGACAACTGGAAATTTTCCACTTTTATTCTTTATTATGAATTATTCATGCATTCCTGGCCTATTTTCAGACTATTAGCTGGTAAAAATTGTACACTTGGGTTAATGAAAGCCATGGTATCCCCCTTGTTATATTCAGAGTAAAGTACTAAGTGCAAGGCTATAACAGAGACAAATTTAATAAATACACATAGGATTGTATATACTGTATTAACATATTTAGGGGCATATTGTGTATGTGAGTCTGTGTGCATATACGTGCACAGACTTACACAATGATAGGGAAGAGTTTTTTTAGAGGGAAAAACTTCAGGCTTTAATCCCCATTGCTTTATGGGTGAATAAAGGTGAACAGCAATATCTATTTTTACTAAATAACCATAGGATGGATGTGTACATCTTTACTTAATAGAGCAGATAAAGAAGTGGATAAACTGAAGTTGCTCCCAGACTTTTGTTATCCAGAAGAACCTTAAAGAGGAAGTATCATTTATTTAGGGCTTGTCTTTATTTCAAATATGAATAGTCACTCCCTGAAGTTACATCAATGAGTGAGGGATGATCAACAAGCATCTGAGACTTTATCACTTAAATTTAGATCCTTGTTTAGATGAATAGGGAATTTTTCTGGTGACATAAAAGTTTGTGGGTCATTATATAGATGGGTATTACAGACAATTTGAGGTTCACAATTTGATAAATACTTAAAACTCAAAGTCATCTTCCCTGTTACCAAGGATCTAACTTCTGGGTAACTTCTTCATCAGTAGAGTCTACTTGTGCAAAAGGATTGTTTGAGAACTCACACATCTTTGTTATGAAGAGAGTACACTTGAACCTCTTCTCAAACTAATACAATAAGTTAATAAACCATTAATTTTGATTATATTAGCAGCACTGGAACTGTCTTTTGTTCCCATCTTTGTATTTGCCCTTCTTTCCACTGTCACCTCCGGTGTCCTTGGCATGCATTTATCATATAATACAATTATCTTTTACGTAATTTTTGTGATTTCTTTTTGATTTTTATTTGAATCATGTGAACCAAGACATGTTTTAGCAATTTATGCCATTACATTAAAAAGAGCCACAATTAAGATTAAGGAGGTACTGTGAAATTACCTCTAGTACTTTGTAATAGGCCATTTTGCAATTTCTTTCCATTTAGAATGGGCTCTCTATGATTTATCTTGAGTTACTTTTGTGTTACTGTATGCTCTATAAGCCTTAGCATCACTTGCCAACAAGACTTGCATTTTGTTTCATTTTGTTTGTTAGACATCTAGATTTGGTTCTAGAGGAAGGTATGCTTTATATACATTTCTTTGTTTCTTTTTGTTGGATTTCCCCTACCTTTTTGTAAAGGAATGTTTATATGGCTCAGAATCATAATTGGCTGAATATTACAAGTTCAAATTATATTAACCCTGGATAAATTTTGAAAAAGTATATCAATAATTCAGTAAGTCTTTCCTTGAGTACATATATACCGGATTATGTTACAGGCTGTTCAGTTTTTGCTTATACTTGCCCTATGAACTTCCTTTTTTAAACCATAGCAGTTAAGATTGAAGCAAATCATCTTAGAAATTTTACTTGCAAATTGTTTCCTATTCCACCAATCAAACCAAAGATATGTATCTAAGGGATACTGGGAGTGCCCTGGTTTTTTTCCTTCTTTTCCATAGCCAAGAAAGTATCGACTGGGGATGCTGGAGGAGAGGATAGTTCCGGTGGGATCAAAGGCACGAAAATCAAAGAACACCATTGGCTGCTTGGCTGACAGGTGTAAAACAGGAGTACCCATCAATATGGTTTGGTGGAACAGAGTCACAGAAAACAATTTACAGGTAAAATTACTTTTTCCTAGTCACTTTAATTAATTTGGGGTACTTTTTATTTTTGGAAACTGCTGAGGTCAGATATCAAATCAAAACTTTATTACAGTCATAGACCAGCATATGGGGTCAGGTACATGCAGTGGGACTGCAATTTGATCAAAACTTTCACAGATAAAATGAATAAATGAGAATGAGTTACTTAATCTCTAAACTAATGTCTTCTAGTTTTAATGGTAAGGATAATAGAATTTTAAAACCCTTAGAAGTCATACACTGTTTTCTTTAAATCAGATGATATTCTAGTAAAAATTAATATTTTAGGAAAAATTCTAACAACTTTAATATACTGTTTATTTTAGATTTCCTTGACTGGCTTATTCTGAAAAGAAGCCAGAGTCCCTGGTACATTCAACATGACATAGAGTGTTCATTGCCATCCTCAGTTTCTGTGCTGTCTCAGTCATTTGTAGCTAAACTATAATAAAATTCAGTAAATTATAGAGATTATCTACTGCATATCTCTTAATACAATGGTTAGTGAGTTATAATAGTCTGAAATCTTTCTAAAGAAATCAAGCCTTTAGAAAAGAGCAATCATGCCAAATACCAATATATTTCTCATCACAGTCACAGCATATGGGGAAACAAGCACCCCTCAAATTTAATATCCTGTTACAGTTTTTCCTGAATATGATGGATTTATAGGGATGTGCAAAACTCACCTATTGAGAAATGGTATAATAGTAGAGTGCCTAGAGTCACTTGTATAGCGGGATGGGCAGCATGTATAAATTTGAAAAATAAATAAATAAAATGGTATGATTTCTCAAAAAAGTTTAGTTCCTAAACTGGTGGGTTTTTCATTTCCTTTTGCTTTCAGTAACCTTTTATTGCACTAATGATAGTGCTAATAGAGGGAAAAGATGTTTGAGGTGTTCTGCTCTTAGCAGCCTTTCAAGATAATTGTCTTCCTAAGGTAACAGCAATAAAAAGTATAATGATACAATACTTGAGAGTTAATGCATGAGGTTGCAGATTGGTATTCTGGATTTGTCTCTAAAGTAAAAAAATGAACCATGAATTAAATATTTCCACAAAATTAGCATATGAATAAGAAGTATCATTCAATGGTGGGAATCTGCATTATTTTTGCAATATCATTTTATGTAGCAATTACAATCCCAAAAGGATGCATTTTGTGTCCTGGAAAGGTGCTGTTAATAAGGGACAAGTTAATGTTTCACAAAAGCAGTTGTATTATTTTGCATCTTAAGAAAGATTTTGTGAGAGTTAGAGCAACCTTAAGAATCTTAGTTTTAATTTAATATTTCAATATTTGCTTTAAGCAGATAAGTTGGAATTGTAGAATGTCAGAATAGTTGAGAACTCAATGAATTAATAAATTATTCTATGAATTTTTTTCACTAATAATTTCTTCAGATGGGTATGCAGGTTCTTCCTCTTTAATCTAGAACATTTCATTGTCTCAGCTTTAGAAGAAACAAAATATTTATCAAGGGTGGAAATAAACGTTTAAGAGTGAAGGTCATAAAGTAAGTAAAGTAGTGACTTAAGGTAGATTATAAAAGCTGTTTATTGCCATTCACATGTTTATTATTTGAGGGAAGGGAAAGTATCTTGGTTTTGGACAGATCTTACAGTTTTCTTTTATAGTGCAAGAGTAACCTTTAATATAGACTGTTGCTTAAAGAGGGTGTGGTAGATTTTTGTTGTTGTTTCTTAATGACGACCTATACATACTGTCTTTTCAGTTCAACAGTGAACTGAAGTTGAGCCTGTCTTCAGTTAGATAAGGCTACGTAGTTTTGGTTTGTACATGTTGGCAGTACTAGAACTTTGTTATTCAGTAAAGAAGAATGGCTTTCTATTTGTCTTGCCACATTTTTTACTTTTCTGAATGATACAGATCGCAGTCTAGAGAAGCTGTTCTGCATGTGCAAAGAGTAGTTGTTATAAGACTTTAAATGATTTTGCAGAAAATATCAGTCCACTGAAAGTTATGCTTTGTTTCCTGTCAGGCAGTCCAAGTTGTCCTTTTTACACATGGATGCTGGCTTGCAATACTGTATTTCAGTGTAGTAATACTCTTTCTTTCATTGATTAATAGAAGGTGGAAAAATACAATAACCGAATTGTGATGTATTTGTTTTAGGGAAATTAAATGTTAGCATTTCTGTTCTTCACCCTTGCAGAAGAAGCTCAAAATGCTGTATATATAGCTCAGAGCGGCGCATTCTCCCCTCAGTAATAGCCCAGTGAGGTATATTAAGTTGAAGGGAGATAACTGGTCCATTATAAGTGATCTTATAAACAAATGGCTGTGAAACTGTAGTGGCCTCTATATGTTTCTAGTTACAGTTTCAACAAATTCTTTCCACTGCACATGCTGGTTGGGGGACATGAAAGTCCAAACTATTTGAAATGAGCTAGGTTGCTACCCTGATCAACAAATGGTTAAATGGTTTGCTGAAATATTGCCTTTAGTTTCTGGCACAGAGGAGGGGAAAAAAAGCCACATTGGTGCTCTCTTTTTCCTTTAAACGTTGTTATTCTGTCTTTCAACTGTATTGAAGTCTTTCAATACAGTTCACAGGCTGAAATTATAAAATTATTGACTATAGAATACAATTAATGTGATAGCATAAAGCATTTAAAATAACAGGAAGGTTAAAAAAAAACAAAACAAAGCTCTAAGGTAAAGTCTGGCTTCTGTTCACTTAAGGGCATAATAGAAAATCCAAATCCTTAAGACCCATTTTCTTCACTTGAAGAGAGAACCATGTATACTTTCTATGTTATGGTATTTCATTTGAAAAAGAACCACCACAAAAAATGCTACAAGTATATATGAGAAGAAAAGTTCTGTTCTTACACCTCATGTATAATTAAATGATGTGTAAGGAAGTACTTTATTGTTCTGTGCTGTAAAATAAAATCTGTAATATCCAAAGGAATAATAAGTTTTGCCTGAGTGACAGAAATTTGTAGCATCCAGGTGTTAATCACTGATTGGTTAGTATTGGGACAACAGTGGACAAGAGGAGCAGATGGTCATACCAGCCTAGAAAGGGGTTTTGATTTGTATGAAAGAAAAAGAATGTGTATTCAGTTATCCAGATGAATTTTAATACTATACAAAGAAATATTAATTTAACACATGTAGAGGCAATGTAAGGAAGGATGGTAGTGACTGAATGTGTACAGTCTTCCCATCTGCAGCCTATCAAAGACTGAGGTATACAGTGCTTATTATGCAGATTGTAAGTTTATAGCATTGGAAGACAAGACCGCTTCTCCTCCCGTTTTTATGAAAGTGTGCTGTTCAGTTTTTTTTATCATTCTTTTAATTTCATTGTATGGTAGAAATGGGTGACAAGTAAACTGCACCTGATTTAATGTATAAAGAAACAAAGCAGAATTCTGAGAATCATAGAGGAAGCAAAAGATGAAAAAGCTTGTTTTTGTTGCTGTGATGTACTTGGACCCTAACTGTTCTGGAAAATGAATCTAAAAGTTACAATGAGACCAATATATAAATATCTTTAATCACCCATCTTTTCTTAATATGTTCTAATCAGGACTATATTATGCTTGATATTTTGTTCTTAGGCAAGGAAGTTTTGTAGCTGTGATGCTAGTTGGGTCTTGATTTAGCAGTTCTTATATTTCTAATAATATTTTATCATATTTTCCATGTTTCATATCTGAGCTGCTTTCATTACTGCATTTTTAAACAGGTGGCTTTGTACCTTTTCCCTTTTCTCTTTGTACTTATCTGTATGAGATTAGCATTTCTTTTCAAGATTTGTTGTATTTGAAAATAACAATTGCTTATGTCATGATACTTCAATAAAACTATGTATGATGGTTCCCAGTTTCTTGATAGAGCAGAATGTATTGTACCATCTTGTTTTGTCAAAATATTAGGGATGAAAAATATTAGATTTGGATCAAATTTCTGTAAAAATGCTGTGACTCTTTAGAGAGAGATACAAGGAGAAGACAACTGCAATGGTAGATGATGCAAGTATAGTCTTGGAAAAGTAAGTCTCAATAAGTGGCTTTAATAACTGTTGCAATAAATACTATATCATGTGGCATAATAAATGCTATGACATTTCAGATGTGTCAAGATTTGTTTTAGACATTATTAAGAAAAGTAAACAGGTCTTAACTTGTATTAAACGGATTCTGTTTCAACAAAGTATTCAAGAGCCTATATGATGACAGAATTGAATTTCATCTGCTACATCATTGTTTCTCAAACTAAGGTCACACCAGTTACTCTGAGGACAGTGACAATTTGTTGTTGTTGTTGTTGATTGGGTCAGTTCTAAGTGGGAACACTGTCAAAACTCATTGCAATTTGCATTGGGTTTGCCCATGCAAAGAAGAGACCAAAGTCTAGGGTGAGTTTTGAAAGATAAGTAAACTTCTGGTACTTTGGGTGGCAGATGGTTTCTTACTAGTTAGCAGCTTCCAGCAAGCTATGTAGCAGTATATCCATGGTCTTAAGAATGTATGAAGAAGTGTACGAGTTGGTGAAGTTGATTTTTGATGAACGTATTTTTATCCATTATTTTAAATTTATAGCTTTTCAAAATGAGAATGGCTTTATTGGGTAGTAAGAGAATAGCTAAAGACACCTAATTTAAGGGTAGTGCTGTAAGCCTAAGACAGTTATGATGAAAGCTACATATCTTTTAGCAAGTATCATATTTATTTCTTGCCCATCCCTATCTTCAGTGAAATTATTAGATTTATTCATGAGGGCCTCACACAAATTCATTTATGCGATTGCAGTATCACAAAATTTGAGACTATCCCAAATGATTCTCTGTCCTCCTCTCAAAGGCCTACGTTATTGTGACTTTTTCTACAGTTTATTGAGTTGTTTTACTTCTTAGCTGTGTGGTGATTTTTTGGTGATTTTATTATTTAAGCTTCCTTGTTCTTATGTTATGAAAAGTCAAGATATTCAATTTTGAGTATTAATAACAATAAATTAAAACGTCTTAAGCAATCTTTACAGGAAAATCTCAATTTAATGGACTGTTTGAGGAGGAAGAGCTGTCTGTTGTATTATTTATGTAATTTATGTCACTTGCACTTGACATTTTTACATATATTTTACATCATGCTCATAATTACATAATTGAGGCTTTTACATAATTTGTACAAATTTATGTCATTTGCAGAATTGCATAATTACACAAATGATGTAAATTAACAAAATTGTTGAAAAAAAAATCAACTGTCCAAACTGCTTCAGAAACAGTAGACTTTGTCCTATGTTTGAGGATGAAGTCCAAACTAGAATTTTGTCCATTGCATCTGAAGTCTGCTGAGTGGAGGGTCAGAGAATTGAGGTTTTACTGTACTTAGATAATAACCTGAACTGTATCATTATTTAAAAAAGGGGGGGGGGAATCTCCTTTATTTACTGAACCTGGATAAAAAAAGGCAAATGAAAAATATAAATGAAATATTTATTAGTAATCTGCTATAAGTTAATATACCTTGATTATAATTCCATTCTACCTTAATTTTTAAGTTTGATATTAATAGCTGTATTACTAGTTTTAGTATTTTATCCAAGAAGCTCATAAGCACATTCTGATCTTGCTATAGCTGTACAAAGAATGTTTTGTTGAGAGATTCTAATTTGTCCAGCATTAGGTACTGAATTATATAACCACATCAAGATTCAAACTGGGATTTGCCCACCCATTATGATAGTTGAATTGTATCTTACTTTAAACTCAGTAATGTTCCAAATAATTAGGTAAGATAAACATTTATATTTTCTATAATTTTAAATAGGAAACTTTTTCTCCACAGCTATTGATGTTGGGGGGAGGGTATTATAATTGCTTATTTGTTATTTCATTATTTTATATCTATTGATTGCTATGTTTTCTTATGTTAAGGTTTTTATATTTTATTTAGTTGTTTTAAGTTTTACTTTTATTGCACCTCTGTCTTTTCCTTTAGATCCTGTGTAAAGTGTAATTCATAATTGGTTTCTGACCATAAATCAGATTATAAAAACTAACTAAAATATGAAGCTTTTTGAAATAAGTCTACAGTCTAGTTCTTTAAAATATCATCCGTTTATATGGACAGGCTGCCATCAGCACAGTGAGAAAGCTGATGCACGCTCAAATGTATTTGACCTATGTGTATTGCAAACTTGCAAATCTTAAATTGTAAAGGAAGTTATATGGAGATCTGCATTTCAACAGGGTTCTTATGATGAAAGAGTACTTAGATCCAGTTAGGAGAAGAATGCATTAACTGAATGCTTGCTTTTTTTTTTTCTTTGTCATGTCATATTAAAAACCAAGCATAGTTTTGAAAAGTTATGGTTACACAGCAGTTAAAAGGAGAATAGTATAAAAAGTCCACATTAACTTCACTGAACTAATTTTAGTTCTTTGGATCCTGGCATTTGATTCTTATTGTGTACTGAAATTTTGAAATATTAGATTTTTGGATTTTAATTCCACTGATTTATTTAGTAGACAAGTCTGTCTTCACATTTAACACATAATATGTTCTGATTTTTAAACAGACGCCAAATCCCACTGCAAGTGAGTTTATTCCTAAAGGAGGATCAAACTCCCGACTTGGTAATATGTCACAGTCAAATATCTCTGCCTTCTCTCAAGCCTTGTTTTCTCATCCTTCCATGGGAAATCCTGCAAATCCTGGGTTAGCTCCAGGTAAGTTTAGAGTAATTTGTGTGCTCTCTATTATGACTCATAATAGTAACTAGTTGATCTTGTACCCTAGGAATTGATTAATGTAATAAAACTTGGCTATGCAGATTGTAATTTCATGTGGCTCTAATCACATTGCAGCCTTATACAAATTGCTTTATTTTAAGAGTAATTCTTAAAAGTTTTTTGTAGCTATGCAGAGACCACTATTGTTCCAGCTTTTAAAAAGAAATTATTAAATTTTCTTAAGCAGAAACTGTAGCGAAGGTCCCTAAAGAGTGGGTTGGGATACAAACCTAAACAAAAGTATAGATATGGCTTTCTGACAAAATAATACATTAACAAAGCAATGTAAAAGTCTGGATTCTGGGATGTTTGATTACAAAATCATTGATATTCAGATTGTTTTGCTTTTGCCAATAAATGTTCATCAGCTGTTCCTGATTTTCATACCAAACTTAGAATAGCTTGAAAATAAATTTACAATTTATAGTTAATAATGTTACTGTGTAGTTCTCTGTAGATATCTATAGCTGTAGACACCTCCTAAATTTACAAGATGTGTTGCTCTCAGACTTGGAATGTAGAAACACCTTTAAGTTTTCATAAGTCTGTAGTTCTCACAAGTAGTTGAATGCATTGGCCCGTGCTATAGAAATGGAATAAACTTTCATGCTGCAAGATATATTATTCATTAATGCATAGTCAATTTATCTTGAACTTTGGTTTCAACTATCCAGCAATATTGGTATTTGGAAATAAGGTTTATTTTAAAACAGTCTCTTTAAAGGGGTTGGTTAGAATGTTAGAGAGATTCAAGTTAAAGACCATACTTGGCTATGGAAGCTTACAGAGTGACTTCTGGCCAGTCACTGCCTTTGAGTCCAATCTACATGCTGTTTAGGAATACAATTGGAAGAAACAGTACTGTGTGTGTACCATCCTGAGGGCCTGAAGGAAATATGTTATATATCTAACATATAATGAAAAATTTATCTTGAGCAAGCAGAGTTTGCCACAGCTATAATATAAAGTTACCTGCAGCTGAAGGGGTATAAAATTGCACAAATATATGAATATTTCAATAATGTGGCTTGAGCAAGAAATGTAACCTGGAGAAGTAAAACTAAACCTGAAGCTTTAATCTTGAGAAATTCTTCTGGAAATACAGAGTTTCCCCACAGGAAAGTCATCATATAAATCTAACTAGATGATGATGATTACATTCATTGGTCATGTAGCCTAGATAATCTTAACACAGCATTCTTCACTCTGGTAGTTGTTCTGCAGGGTTAGAGATCCTTTTAATGTCATACAAACTATGGATAGAACCTGAATTTTATTCATATAAGGGATTGTTTTACCAAGTGTTTTTTCTTTAAAGACAATGCCTCATAATATTGAATAAAAATATTAGAGATCAATAAACTTGTCATACTAGTTTTTATTTGTGCTTTAATTTTGTCATATTTCTTACTCTTTCACACTTTGTGTAATTAATTCATTTCCTTATGGGTTTTATGGGGGACGTGAAAACTCACTGATGAGGGAATATGAATTTCAGACAATGCTGGAATGTTCTGTTCCTCCTCCAGACCATACCAAATCTGGTCACTGTCATTTTGGAGGAGTTTTCATGTGATATGGAAGGATAAAATAATGTTCTGGGGTTGTCTGGAATGGAAATTCCAAATTGGTGAGTTTTGCACATCACTAGGTTTACTATAAAGCTATGGCATTGATCTCAATATGCAACCTTGGGGGTATGTCAATCAACATATTTGTGGTTAACAATTTTATTTGAATACTGAATATAGACTGGGGTTTCAGCGTTTGAAACATTTTCAAACATCTTGTTTGATCTAACCAAAGTTCTTTTTTTTTTTTTAATTTGTAAGGTAATTCATAATTTTTCAAGCCTTAGAGTTCATGCTGGAATATATTTCTGCTTTACCAGCAAGTCTTTTTGTCCCTTTTATTTGAACAAGGTATGTCACTGTCAGCAGGATCTTCGCCCCTTCACTCTCCTAAAATCACTCCTCACACATCTCCTGCTCCTAGAAGAAGAAGTCATACACCAAACCCAGCAAATTATATGGTGCCTACTAGTGCCTCTACACCAGTTACTAATGCTGTCTCGCAGCCCCCAGCTACTGGGCAAGTGATTCAGAAAGAAACTGTGGGTGGAACAACCTATTTCTATACTGATACAACTCCTGCACCTCTAACTGGAATGGTAAGGTTTAGCTTTAGTTGTAAGGGTACTTGTCAGCAAAAAGCTATTTACTGTTATTTACAGTATTTAATTGTTATTAAGTGTCCCTTACATTTAAATTATCTCTTTTGTTCTCCATATTTTATTATGATGGAGAAAAGAGAAATTAGATGCACTCACATATCATGGTAAACCATGTTTGCTTTAAGTTACTTCTCAGCATGGTAAGCCATTGTTATTATGGTAATCAAACACATTTATTATAGCTTCCTCCCAAAATAGTCTGATGTTTTTACAGTTCTTGTCCCCAAGAACAGATGGGAAGAAGTTATAGCTCAGTGGCAGAGTTCTGGTGGCAAGGGATCAGGTACGTTACTGGATTTTTTGAGAGCTGTTGGCAGCTGGAACAGATGTTAGCAGCTAGATATACCAGTCATCAAACTCAATAGAAAGTATTTCTGTATTCTCAATAGAATTGCTCCTAAGTAAGTGGAATGCAACAAGGAGAGTAAGCTATTTATTTTTTAGATACAGAGCTACCTGATGCCTCACGTTTGCCTGGGAGAGATTGCAAATGCAGCTCCATTACATTCCTACTTTAAGGGTAGCTGACTTCTTAAAGAACTTGACTTGTCCTCTGGAATGAGAGGATTTGTCCAAAATAGAGTTGGAACAGCAAGTAACAACAGAATTTGATGAGCTGTTAAGCGATTAATAAAGATCCTTATATGGGAACGTTTGATGCTTGCCTGAACTGGAGAGGGAGAATCTTCAATTCTCAATCCCTGCCTCTCAAGTAATAGATTCACTTTACAATATAAAATATTAAATAAAAACTAAAGTGGAATCAGCAACATTTTAATTAAAAGTACATTGCTTGAGGCTTGGGTTTTTAATTTTTTAAAAATTAAGTTAACTATTTTTCCAAAATAATGGTGCAGAAAAAGTAAGCAAGTCTGAGATAGTTAAAAAAAAAAAAAAAAGATTTGGAGTCAGAAAATAGCCAGGTTAATTTAGGCAAACTATAGTGAAAGAATAGTGACAATATGTTAGAATTCTGTGTAGAATGGATGTTGTTGGAATCAGCCATTCAGTATAAAACTCAAGCCTACTTTATAAGGCTGTATAGTGTCTAAGAAGCTCATATATTTATGGTACTGCCTTGAATGTGTTCAAAAGATTTTTAAAGATTTAATACCTCTGTTAATTTTTCAACTTCTGAAAGTTGTCTGTTTCCTAATTGACTTTCAATAGGTATTCCCAAATTATCACATTTATCCTCCAACTGCACCTCATGTTGCTTATATGCAGCCAAAAGCTAATGCACCTTCCTTCTTCATGGCTGATGAACTCAGACAGGTAAATTATTTTTAAAATATAAAAATAAGTAATAGATTTTATTCATAAAATGTCTGTATAACTTTTCCTTTAAATTATGCAAAAAGCTGTATTCACCACATTGTAAAAGTAAGTTCTGTATTTGTGAGAAGTATAGTACATGCACAAGTACACTCTACTTGAACTGCAGGTGCTGTGTGAAGACTAATAATGGAATTGCTTATTTACTTAACATTAATACTGGATCATGACAAGGATTCATATTCTTACTATTTTTAGTCCTTCTGACTGTAGATTTCATAATGAGAAAGACTATGAGTAGGACAAATATAAGTATCCTGTGAAAAGACTACTCCAGATTTAAAGATTTGGATTTTGCAGGTGATATTCCACTTCTGGTAGGAACCTGGGAATGTTTAGAGGACACGATTGCCAATTTGAAAATAGAGGTTGGTAAAATCAGCCTGAGGATAAATAATGACTAGATGAAAGTCACACAGGCTGGAAATGCCCAAGAGAACATGTGGTTGGTTATTGGACACCAACCCATTGAGGAAGTACAGAAATTCACCTATCTAGGCAGTTGTATTATCAAATGATGGAGACATTGAGAAGCAACATTAGTTGCATAGAAAAGCCAACAAGGATCTGATTTTACAATGCCATCAATCTGCCAGTAGCAATATATGCAAGCAAAACTTGGAAAATCATCATATGGATAGCACAACAGCTCATTGTATTCTGCATGTGCTACCTATGAAAAATACTTGTTGTCAGTTACCAAAACCATACTTCTAATGATGAGATTCTAGGAAGTGGCTCTTGCAGATTACAAGACATTGTGAGGGATTGCAAGTTATATTTTGCTGGACGTTCTGTATCTTCTGGATAACTGTTACCCAAAGATTGCCATGTGCTGGATGTCACCTGGAGGGAAAAGGAAGAGAGGCAGATCCATCAAGACTTGGTGGAAAAAAGTTAAAGACAACTTTATAAACATCGGAATCAATGAGAAGAAGATTACAGCTGACTTAAATTGTTGCAGAAATTTGTTTCCCAGTGTGCTGCAAAGCATAGGATGACCTAAGTCTAAATTCCCACACAGGACTTAGTTACTTCTGTGGAATGACAGCATCAATAGAATACAAGCAAGTTATCATACAGAATAACATGCTGTATTTAAGACTCTGCCTAAGCTGGAATCCTGTAATATTTTCTTGGAGCAAGTTCCACCAAATTGAATATGACTTGATCAATAAACATGTATAGGATTGCAATGTCAGTCATTCTCAAACAGCGAGCACTTGTAATGGTTTTAGTCTGTAATACTTTCATATGGTTACTAAACATATTTGACAAAGTAACAATATATATATGACTATACTCCCAGCTACACCCACTGTCAAATTAAACAGGTCATTTCCCTTCCATTGCCTTTCTCCTGATTTGATATGGTGCCTTTATCTTGAGATAGGCAGGTATTAGAAGACAAACTTAGTTTAACTAACACATGTTCCTTGAATGTTGTATGAAGAATCTTGAGGTCTGCATTCAGTTCACAGGCCAGAATTTGTGTAACAGTACTGTAGAAAAGAAGCTGATCATGCCTCAGGTTTGTGGTGTAATTGTAAGAAAAGCAAGCCACAACTATACTGGAAAGTTTGAGCAAGCCAGTTGTGAGGGAGACAGAGCAGGAGGTTCTTCCTGTACTGTTGAAGCTTTTGGAATATTATATTTAATACATATAAAGTATAGATGTTGATAAACTGGAAAGAATACAAAAAATCATTTATTTGTAAGGCTTTGCAACTGCATGTTTTTCTGGGTTCGCGTGATGCCCTCTACATATGATGCAATCCGAAGAAAAGTCTCATTTGCTTAAAAAATTGCAGGCTTGTGTTATGTGAGCACCCCCACGTGATCTGAAGCACCTTTTTGCTTTTGAATCAGAAGCCATGCCATAGTTACTTGAGTCTAGTGCAGCTTTGTAAATACACCTGCAAAGGTTGCTTGCCTGCTTTTTACTTATAAAAATGGGCTGATAGAGGTAGCAGCCTCTTCTCCAAAATCCTATTTGTTTACATAGATGCAAGCATTTGCCTGTGATGATCTGAACTGAATTAAATAGAGGACTGGTCTAATGACCATGATATGCTGAAACTCTGAATCTTCAACATTGAGAAGAACAAAAATTGCCTGAGGATAGTGAGAGACAGCTATAAAAATACAAGGACAAAAATGTTACTATTAAACTGCAGCATGAAAAATCTGGGATGGAAGACCATTTTATTGTAAGAGCTACTGGCTTTAATTGTGAAACATACTTGCTGAAGAGCAGTCTTGAAGCTTTCTTGATAGGACTAGGTAGAGTCAGTTCTTGAACCAGAAGAATTAATTGACCATTGAGTATATCCAACAACAATATTCAAAAGTTCATAGCTCTCAAAGAAGTTTATTTTGGGTAAGTTTTCATTTTTGTAAAGGAGTCAGCCCAGATAAAACAGAAAAATACATTAGTTTATTTTTACAATTTGCCATAACTACATTAAAAAAACAATAACATGAATTTTATACCTTATCTGTAAGAGCGTAAAATGTTTCCTTTACAGGAGCTGATCAACAGACACTTAATTACAATGGCTCAGATAGATCAAGCAGACATGCCTGGTAAGTAACTAAAAATCCTGAATTTTAAGTTGTGTTTGTGAAGTTTATTTTTGCTTGCTTCAGCTTAGTAACTCTAAATTATTTATACACACACACACACAAACGCACACATATATATATACACACACAGACATAATATATTATATTATATTATATTATATTATATTATATTATATTATATTGTGGGTATATATATATATATGTGTGTGTGTGTGTGTGTGTGTGTGTGGCTGCATGTACTTATATCTATATATTTACACACACCACACACTTATTAAAGACACATTAAATCTAAGTTAACCTAGAACAGTTGTTTTTCTTAGCATTTGTCCCACATGGTTTCTGGGGTCACTTGTTAACCAAGAGCTGTATTGAGCATAATCAGGGTGGCATACAACAGGGTGGCTTTGTATATGAGGTCCTCTCTGTATTGAAACTTAATATAATTATTTCTTTACTATCATATTTTCTTTCTTTCCACAGACCCAAATTTTGTTTTTTCTTTAAACCCAATTCGTAATACAAAATATTTGATTTTACTGATGAATTAATATTCCCCTTTATTTATAATATTTCTTAATTAATAGCTATAGGAAGGGTTTCACGTTGGAGGTGGAGGGTACCTTTCTATAGGTATCTGGCTCTCAAGCCTACATAGCAAGTGTATGCCTATTAATAATGCCTATGAAATGTGAACACTATATAAAGGTTTTATAGGTGTAAACATGAATGATATGTTCTTGTGGAAGAATATGTTTTATGTCTTCTGCTTATCGCATTTGGTTTAGAGTTGTAGGAATCATATCTGCATGGTTCCCAAATCATCATGAGAACTTTCTGAGACATTTAAAGACGCATATTTAAATTTGGTTTAATGTTTTCAGCACAAGAAGATACCTTGAATGTATAACAAATGTTTTATCTGTTCATTTTAAAGCATAACTTTTATTTATAGCTTCTTTGACTGCTTCTTTGGTTATTTCCATATATCCAGTAGAGTTTTGGATTGTTCCTTTTCTCAGATAAATTTCAAAAGTGGTGTTGAATGGAGTAGGAGGCCAGCTTTTTGAAGTAAAATAGCCAAAACCTCAGTGCAGTCGTACCAAAAGAAGCTTTCTGAATTGTAGTTTTATGATCCTTAACACCCACTGTGGGCTGTAGTGGGTGTTAAGGAGACTCCTTGAGTCTGTGATATGCCTTTTTTTGCCTCCATAGCAAATAGATCAATACAATAATTGTTCAGACCACTATAGCAGTTGGATTTCTTCAGGTATTACCTTGAGCTTTTGTGTAATAAAGGAAGCTAACAATTACAAAGTTGATGGTAATAGCTAAACTTTAGAATATTTCTAATTAAGAAAATGTCTGCTTGTTGTGGAAGTACTAGTACCCTACTCACAGCAGTGCAGGCAGCTTCTGTCCTAGTATTATACTCTAACTAGCAATAAAGCAGGGGTGGCAACTTTTTTGAGGACCTAGGGCTACCCTTAAAATTTAAGAGGTAACAGGTTGCAAAATATTTTGACACCAGATATCTGTGGGCTGGAGTGGGTGTTAAGGAGACTTCTTGAGTCTATGATATGCCTTTTTTTAGAGTGTACACTATAGCTTGTCTGTTTTCCATCATAAAAGGCAAGAAACTGATGTCAAGGGCAGGGTTGGCTCCAAAGGCCACAGGTTGCCCTTAACTGTGTTAAAGAGTTCCATTTCTGGATGCATTGTGTCAACTGCCTGTCTCAAATCCTTGTAAAGTACAGAAAATGCTTTAAGTATTAGGCAAGGACAGGGACTGCATAGTGATGTGTCTGCTGGCTCTTTTTTTGAACTTAAAGGAGAGGTTACCAGAACTGGTATTATCCAGAAAGGGGCAGGGAATGGTTACCCCAGGAGATTGAGGAAAGAACCATTTTTATAGCATTTCCACAGTAACACATTTGTTAGGCTTATGCTGTTCTGGTTCAATATATTAGTGTTCTGCAAGTCATTAAACAAGGCAAGTTAAGCTTATTTTAAGCTTTCACAAATATTCTGTCCTAAAATTTTATTTTCTACAACACTGATGATTTTTGGCTATTTGTCCTAAAACATTTCCCTTATGATTAACAATGATCACATATATCTTTTTCTGCCTATGTATAAAATAGCTAATCAAGATCATAGTATTTGTAGTAGGGTACTATTCTTTAATATTTGACTTCTATCCTTTCTAAGGCAAATGTCTTTATTATGAGCAAAGTGTGTATGATTTGCATCAAAACTGTCATTTTAAACTTCTAACTTTGCTACAATCCTCTAAACAAGTGTGTGCATCTAATTGATCTTCTCTGTGCCTGTAATAACTGTTTTCTTAATAATTTTAAGTAGTGTCTAATGTATTTCTGTAAACTGGTTTAGCTGTCCCAACAGAAGTTGACAGCTACCACAGCCTTTTCCCTTTAGAACCACTGCCACCACCCAATCGGATACAGAAAACAAGCAACTTTGGGTACATAACATCATGCTACAAAGCTGTAAATAGCAAAGATGATCTGCCATATTGCCTTCGGAGGATACATGGTGAGGGAAATCCTAAGTTGTCATCTTTTAAAATTTCAATGGTACAGATAATTAAACCTTTTCTATGTATAAATCACAAATTGGATTTCAAATTGAATCATTCCTTTAAAATAAGGAATAGGAATTTGGCCCTAATAACAATCCATAGAATAGGATATGAAGAAATAAATATGTTTTGCTTTGGTGTGTCTCTGTTGGTGGCAGCTCAGATTTTGGAATAGATGTGAACATTCCATTAGAAGTTAATGAATACTTGGTGTATGAAAGGAGTTTTATTTTTTCTTTCCTCAGGTTTTCGTCTTGTTAATACAAAATGCATGGTATTAGTTGACATGTGGAAAAAAATCCAGCATTCAAATATAATAACATTGCGAGAAGTATTCACCACTAAAGCATTTGGAGAGCATTGTAAGTTTCTCATTTTAAGATGTTGGCCAGTTATATCAGAAAACTTGCATTGGTTGCCTACCTAACTCTCACCTTGGTCTCTCTTTGAAAAGCTCTTGTGTTTGCATATGATTTCCATGCTGGAGGAGAGACTATGATGAGCAGGCATTTCAATGATCCTAGTGCTGATGCCTACTTCACAAAACGGAAGTGGGGTAAGGCAAATATATATATTATAAAATGGTTATTGGAGCTTCATTAAAACTTTTCGTTGTATTTTTTTAAAATATCAGGAATACCAAAACTCTTTGAGGGCCCTTGGTCCATTTGTTGTTTTGAGAGCATATTGTTGGTTTTCTTACAAAACGGCTTTGATGAAAGAGTTTTCTCAGTCACAAAATGTCTCCTGTGGTGGATGCAGCCAGTCATAACACAACCAGAAGGAAAAAAGGTTTAGATGCCTTCTAAAGACTCCAGGATGCTCTTTAGCCTCTCAGTTTATCTTTTGTTCTGGATAGAGCATCCTTCTAAATGAGAACTGCATTGCAGTCATTTCCCATGTTTATTTACTAATGTATATGCAAGGCCCTTAGTACTTCTTGGAAATAAATATTATGCAAGACTCTGGGGTTTCATTTCACAACCTGCCACAGTCTCATTTTTTTTTTAATTCAAAAAATTTAATATAAAAAAAGTGGTGTAAGAGATCTGATAAATAGCAAAGGCACTGTTCTTAAGTACCATATGGGGGATTCCAGACAACTAGATCCTTGAGATGCTCAAAAGGCACCACTATTTTAATTTTATCTGTTTACTGCTGCTTACTGTTCTTTAATTCATCTCAAATTGGTCTTATTCATTTTGGACTTCCAGAAATGCTTGCTTAGTAATGGAATGAACTTCCTCAGTTCTGCTAAGGACTAAGAACAAATTATTGTAATGTTGTTTGTAATTTTTTTTTAATTTCGGTTATTCCTTTAGTATGCATAATCTTGATCCTTCTGTTTTTTTCATTTATCCAAATCCTACGGTGCTTGAAGATAAAATTTTGTTTAGTTATCACACTTCTAAAATAGTTTTTCAAAAAGCAATTTGTATATAAATAGGCCAGAAGTTAACTAGTATATTTCATGCTAGATGGTGCACAGTATATTCTAATGTATATAAGTAGAGCATTTGACGGATAGAATAATGTTTAGAGTAGGTATGTTCCTGGTGGCAATTTACAGAGCTTATAATAGTAGAACATGAATTTTTAAAAAATACAGGAATACCTGTGTAACTAAGGGGGAAGAAAGAAAATGCATTACTTAAAGGCATGAAAGAAAAATTCAATTGTTTAGGTGCTTCAATCTATACTTTGCAGTTTTAGGGGGTATTTAAACTATTTCTCTGTAATTTTAAGAGGAGTCTCTTGATATAATGCATTCAGTGCTCAGTGAACTAATTTAAGAAACTTTTTTTTTTGTTAACTTGGCATTTGGCAGTTAAAAGAACAGAACTGTGGTTACATAGCTGTTTTCACATATTAAATTCTGCTGGCACACTGTGGTTAGTCTTTTTTTGTTTTGCCATGTCACTTGCTAACACATTTCAGAATTTTATGGTTGAGGATGTGGTATAAAGTTTTCTTTCGACAGATGAATCAAGGCATGTCACATTGAATTTATTTCTGAACACCTGTGAACTATTTGATTACTTTCTAGATGAACACTAAACATGCACCAATTTACCCCATTCTGCCAGAACACTGAGATTTGGTTGAACCTAATTCAAACTTTTAGTGGTCCTTTTAAAAAATGGCAATTTGACATATTTGCATTAAAAGGCTTGACTTAATTAAGTGGCATTGAAGCATTAAAAAAATCAAGTGCTTTTTAAACTGGTTATAGCTCCTGGTGACATATTTGAACATATCCATGCAGTTTTCTTGATATGATATAAATAAGATTTGCCAATAACTTTTTCTGGGCTTTTTTTCCACCTGACTTTTCCATCTAGCCTACTACAGCCCTGTAACTTCCCAGATGGTATCCTATCTAACATCCAAATTATTCAAGTTAGGGTGGAGAAATGTTTTAAATTCAAATCACTTATCAAAATGTAAAGATTACATTTTTCCAAAAATTTACCTTGCTTGTGTTTTAAAACATAACATAACAACACCATAAAATATAAAGCACAATGTGCAATCCAAACATGAAAATGAAACCAAACAAAAAGTTAAGACTGATAATACACTGTCAGTCTTACATTAGCAACATGATCAGCAGTCACATACTATTAACTTCTGTTAAACATGTCAACCCTCATTGGTTAGAGCAGGAAGTTGCATGTGTTCAACAAGAGCAAGCCACTATCTGGAGCTGGAAGTGGAGGAGGGGAAGAGAAAGAAGCAGAGAGAGAAAAAAATACTGTGTTTCTACAAAAGCAAAATATTTCAGGGGCTAATTTGATAAATTACATTTGGTTTTGCCTGAGTGCATTGCAGATTAAGAGAAGCAAGCCTTCCCTCATTTGTACAAAGAACTTTGTATAAAGTTCTTAAAAATTGCAGGTATTTTATTTTTGACATAGAAATCAAGTCCTTATTCAGGAAATGCTGTTTCTGAACCTACTTCAGACAGGTGTACATGATTTTTTAAAAAATGCTCTATAATATACTTTTGAGGTTTGCTGAAAAAAATGCTAAAAGAAAAAAGTTGCAGGAGGAGGGATTTGCAGCACAAGTAGCTTCTATGTCAAAAATAAGTGGTTTTGAAGTGGAAGATGGAATGGCCAGAAGAATTGCTCATAAAAAGTTATCTTTTAATAGAATAATGCTAAAAGTTCTCTTGAGAACAAGTGTGACAACTAAGTCCCTGAATTGCAACTCACATCATTTTGAGTAATTGTCTGTGATAATTTTCATGATGCAAAAGATCTCCTCAGAAATAATGTTGTATTAATCTATAATGCTATGACTTCGAGAAATATTGAGAATACTTGAAAGAGAATGATACATACCTACCCTTTCAGGATAAGCAACATTATGCAAACTGCAGAAAAGTAATAAGAAATAGTAAGAAATAAAATAAATAAAATAAAATAAAATAAAGGCATGAGCTAAAAGAAAATATGGCTAAATTGAGTTTACACTAAAGCTATTCACTGTACCTATCTATACTTTTTGGTTATTGCAAAATATTTTTGCTTCCACCATGTTCATGCACCAAGTCATACATTGCCTTTTAATCTTTAAAGTACTCAGCCTCTCTCTTTTTGGAATCTCATGAGTTCCATCCAAATGACTTTCTCAGTCTTTCCCTTCTTTTTAAATATTTCACTCTTCCTTCTTTATTTTGTTATGCCATAATTCATTTTGTTTATAATATTAATCAACCTTGATTAATGACTTTTGTAATTACTACTCACTCAGCACCCATTGATTCTTGGTCCTGTTGCTACTTGCTTTTACTGCATGTGCTTTTTAAGTACCCCATTCCTATCGTATTCAACATTTATGTTTCTCCTGATATACCCAACTCTTAATTCCATAAGACAAAGAGGGCAGAAGCAAAAATAATAATAGTTATTATAAATTAACTTGGACCATGAGACAAATTTTCTAAGAAGAAAAATATGTAGCATTCCAAATTCATTCAGTCATATCTCTAATGGGTTTGGAAATTCTGGGATTTTTTTTTTTTATACATGCCATGTAATTAGTGTTGATTAATTTGCACTCTCTTTTTTATGGAAAAGCAGAACAAAAACACAGCTTGTCCCAGATGATGTCATCTACCACTAATAGTGTTTTATTTGTATACATGGGATGTTTTGTTTTATCAGTATACATGTTTTTGCTGCTTTCTTAAACTTAAGAGTTGTGGTTAGTAAATGATAAAGGTCCACATAATTCATCAGCCTTTCATAAAGTAGACAACAGAAGCTTTTGGTAAATCTATAAACAGGATATGAAGGCAATAATTCTTCCAAATGCTACTTTTCCAGCAATTTATATTTTCCTGCATATTGTGTCTAAACAAATAAGCTGTGCTTGAATGTTGTTGCTAAAACAAATAACACAGCTTTTCCCAACCTGGCAGCTTTCAGATATGTTTTCCAGAATTCCCAATCCCAACATTTCTAGAAGGTACCACATTGTGGAAAGTTGCAGCAACAGATCTGAAAGTTCTGTTTCACATGTCTAGTAACAGGATATAACTGTTCATTCAGTACAACCTTCATCTAAGGAATGTGCAGATTCTCTCTGCTTGAGAGTCACATCACATTTTATGTGGCATGTCAAGGGCTACAGGATAAGGTAGGGGATGACAGGGACTAAACTGGACCTGATTTTAGGGTGCGGGATCCTTTGGTTTGTTTTTGCTTTAATGTTGAAATGAATGCCTTATGCCTCAGCAAGGCTAGAGGCACACGTTTCGCCCCTGAAAATGCCTCCCTAAGCACTTTCTAAAAGGCAAAATTTGGGCCTTGCCTTTTAGGGGTGCAGGCTGGCCTATTTTTTTTTTGCATCCCAATGTATTACTTTTATTGAATATGTTCTCAAAAGTTAAAATGATCAGTAGATTGCGTTGCTTGCTCTAATAACAATTTTTACCTTGTTTTGAAATAAAAGAAGCTTTTAGTTTTACTATCAGTTAAAAAAATTGCTACAAGCAGTATAAACCTGCAAGTATAGAGTTCATTTGTACTCTTAATTCTGCCAATAGGTCAGCATGATGGACCTCTGCCCCGGCAACATGCAGGATTGCTGCCCGAGTCCCTGATTTGGGCCTATATTGTGCAGCTTAGCTCTGCATTGCGGACTATTCATACAGCAGGATTGGCCTGTCGAGTAATGGATCCCACAAAGATTCTGGTAACTGGCAAAACAAGGTGAGACATTTTGCTATTATGTTGTTGGTGAAGAAGGCCCCAATTATGAGGCCTTCTAATATACTTTCAGAATTGCTTCTTCTCTCCACCACCAGCTTTTCTACCTGAAAATTTGCCATTTGCACCCATTCTGCTAAGATAAGGAAGCATACAGTCCTTCGCATTCATCCTAATTAATGGCTCAGCATAGAAGATGACATGAGGCTAACTTAATTTATATCTAATTCTAACTGCCATATATTCCAAGCCTATGGATGTAAGTTCCTCAGTACTGAGTACCATTTATTACCAAGTAGGTGTGCCTACAATTGCAATCTTTATCTAATAATCTTAAGTATCAAATGATACAATGAAGGATTGTATTGAGGATTTTGCTTTAAGAAATCCTTTGATTTCTGAAGCTGTGTCAGTAGTAGTACTTAGCATGACATCTCATAAACAGCATGCAAAGCGTAATGGGGAGGAGAATGTACATAAACTGACAGAATGTACAACATTTCTAATGTTAATTGCCTAGGTGGTATACAGCATTCTGTGACATACTTTGTTCTTGAATATCAAAAGAAAGAAAGTGCAAAAAAACCCACCTTTATATTGTGAGTGCCTTGCGTACCTGTTCATACATATATTCTGTCCAGCTCACATGAATCACAAACCTGTGTACCCCTTTACATTATGATAATATTAATTTGCTAATGGTAATTGTTTAACCAAGAACTTTTGTGGAATTGGTGAAGAGATCATAGGGTACGCCTAACAGGGTAAGGAGGAGTTTTAAAACTTTTCTTTTTCTACAATGCTTTGTCCTGAAGGTTGAGAGTGAACTGCGTTGGAGTCTTTGATGTGTTAACATTTGATAACAGCCAAAATAATCCTTTGGCTCTAATGGCCCAATATCAGGTAAGATATTGTATCCTTTATTCTACATTATTTGCTCACCTAATTCTGCTGGTGGTCATCTTGAAGTAGACGTCAGGTGACTTTAATTGTCCATGAAATCCTCTTTAATTTCTCAATCATCCTCAAAAAATAGATACCGATTAAAAAGCTGAAATTCAGAGTTGGTGACAAGCTCAGTCTAAGACAGTGTTTTTCGACCTTGGCCTCCTTAAGCATGGCTGGCTGGGGAATTCTAGAAGTTGAAGTCCACACAGCTTAAAACAGCCAAAGTTGAGAAACACTGGTTTAAGATGAAAGCCTTTCTGGGAGGGCAATCAAGGTATTGGGCTAGGACTAGGAAGACTCAACGTGAAGCCCTACCTTAGTCACAGAAATTCATTAGGTGACTTTGGATCATGCTGTCTCATGCTTTCTATATTACAAAATTGTTTTTGTGGAGATAAAATGAATGGAAATTTCTATGTAAGCTCTGATGAGCATTTTAACCTAGATGCCTTCATTTAAGCATAACCTGTAATGAAGGGAGACACTTGGCAAGAATATTCTGTAAGCACCTAAATAGAGTATCTCTCATAATTTAGAGAGCCAGTGCATTTCACTGTACACCCGCTACACAGAAGAAAAAGCAGGACATAAATCTTACAAATGGCAGATTTTTTTATTTTGTGCAAAATTTGTGAAACAGTCCATCAATGTTTCCATTATATAAGGCCCTTGTTCACATCCCTAGCATCCCACATCAGTTCCTAATGAAATAGTGTTAGTTGTGTGACATTAAGGCTAAGTGATTATTTTTGCAGTAGCTTTAATACAACCTATTCTTCTTGGCTAGCAAGATCATCAATGGTATTCAGTTAATAATTTTTTGAAAGGCAAAAGTGAATTTCCACCTTCCAAGTCACTCTTTAGGAATTGCGAGCATTGTGTGTCTATAATGTGACTTGTTCCTGCCAACCTGAGAAATTATAATAACACAATGGGGAGGTAGGCATACTAATAATTTTTTTACAGTTTCACCATTTTAATAATGGGAACTATATAGTTCTCTAATAGTTGTCCTAGCTAGATGGCAGAATTTTTGATGGATTGATTGATCGGCTAAATATTTAGCCTAATTGCATAAAAAAAGCCATAATAGGTAATATTAATATATAATATAAAAAGAAAAGGTGTTTAAGAAAAAAAACATCCATGCTACAGCAATAACTTTAAAATAATGCAAAGGCACAATATTTGATATAAGCTTTTGATTTTCCATACACTTTGTGAGATACAAAACAAATTTGGAGAAAGGAGAGAAAAATTATTGGTTTTGAACACATGGAGTCTGCATTTACTTATATTCTTAAACTGAAATACAGGAGGAACTATGAACATTCATCTCTGTGAAATACATGAATGGCCACCTGAACCATTCCCAGAAAATTGTACATGCCAGGCTACAAGGGAAATTGAGCCCAAAAAGACTTGCCAGTATTGACAGTATTTTAGACTACTGTCAAAAATAGGCTGAACTTCTTTGACTGCAGGTAGCTTTTCTTTTAACCTGCCTTTAAGATTTGTTACAGTATATCCAGTAACTCAGTCTACTTCTAAAACCCTTTTCATCACCTGGAATATTTCTGCTGGAGAGCTACCTAAAGATGTAAAGATAGTAGCAAAATGAATTTTCCTAATTAAACTATGCCATATGGTAAAATGGAAACAAATCTGAGCTACAGCTAGATTTTTTTTTATTAACAATGGATTTAAAGTTGAAATTTATCATTTCTGGAGAAGTCAAGGGCACTTTACATATTACAGTGGTCCTTGATTAATGACCGCTTGTTCAGCTACCATTCAGACTTGCAACCAGCCCAGATTTCCAACCGTCACAGTATCCCATGGTCATGTAATCATGATTTGTGACCTTCCCTGTCAAGTAAATGGGGAAGCTGGCAGGAAGTCAGAAGTCACATTCACATGAGGTCCTTGCTAACAACCCACACGATCCTCACTTAATGACAGTAACTGGGGACTGCTAGGACTGCTGTCACTAAGTGGCATGGTCATGTGATATGCTTTATGACTTAAACGCTTAGCAACAGAAATTCTGGTCCCAGTTACTGTTGTTAAGTGAGGACTACCTGTATTTGGAATTTACTTAGCCAAATAAAGGCATTGCCTTGGTAATGGAATTTGGACTGCATAATGCTTGATATCCTAGTTTCTACTCAGTTGTTTCAGCTTTCCTCCAGGCCAAAAATACCCTGTGTAGTACTTAAGAATTACATTGATTGTCTGGAATGATGTTTGAATGTTTCTTTTGTGCCTTTTGCATTTGGGAGTTTAAAATTTTAACTGTTCATCTGAGAGCTTGTGTTCAGAACCAGGTTAAGTTACAGATATCCATGTAAATATCAGCTAAGCAAGACTTAAAAATTTGAAGGCAGCTTATGCTAAGTTTCCTGAATTCTTCATCATCATGTATAAAAAATGTCTGTGGAATTATCTTATTCCCAAATCATTATGTTTTTTAATGAGAGAATACAAAGCTAAAAATGGAACTTAATTCTTAGGTTATTGTGTAACTAGTATATACACTCTTATTCCTACTGTCAGCCATCATTCAGTAATATTTTCATTTTGAAATTTATGTTGCTCATTTAACCAGACTTAGACATTACACAGCACATACATTCTTGAGAATGTTTCACTTGCCCAGAGCAATCTCATTATGCTATATTCTCTTGCTCATTTAATTAGGAGAGGATAGAAGCTAGAGATGAATTAGAAGGACCATAAGAAAAACATGCATTGTTTCTTGCAGTCTATTTTTCATAGTCTGTTTCAGCCACATGAATAAAGACTGTCATACAGTAAATGGACATAAATAGAACCATAGATAGAATCAGAGGAGAAAACAAGCATTGAAAGGAAGAAACGTAATTGAGGGGGAAATAAAAGAATGCAACAAAAAGGAAAAATATGTGGAGGTAAGAAACAAGCAGTGTGAAGAAAAACTGGGGAGGGAAGAAGTTACTGAAGCATATTTTGCATCATGATAAACATAACTATCAAAGTGGGTTACAGCATTAATAGAATGGGAGAATGTTGTATTTCTACATTTGCTAAGTCTATTTGCATTTGATCCTACTTAAAATTGCACAAAGTCCATTTTAATGTAGCATCTGTGAATATATGGGCACAGTATGGAATTATTCTGCAGTTCAGTGATTATGATTACATCATTTTTCACTTAATGAAAATGAATAAAACATCACATGAAACTGCAAAGGATGCAAGCAGAAGCACTGAACTTCATATAGGATACTTAGAAAATTGGAATGGAGAACCTTTTGAACATGCAAGTGCACTTGGGAAATTTGGTACTCTGATGATTTTCTTCCCTCTTTAGTAGCAAGTATTTTTAGATAAATAGCTCAACACAGTGATTGCGGTCACACGTTGTTCTAAGCCACAGTTAGGTTGTCAAACACAATTCCTGTGGCCTGATACAGACTAATCCATGAATGATGCTTTCCAAGCTACAATGCCATATCCTGAGACAATATGTATTTGTGGAGCATCAGAAACAGAAGACATTGCATATGTCCTTTTCAACTGTCAATTATATGCCTCAATAAGGGCTCAGTACTTAGAGACGCTACTTGACAGAACCATATATTGAGACTCTAACAAAAGGTTATCTTATTTCCTTCAGGGCACAAACAAATATGTAGCCACTGGAACTGTCAAATTTATAGTCAGGGCTGTCCAGCAGAGAACATGTTTTATAGAACACATCGGGGTTGCATGCAAAAGTGATGAATTCACCTAACACATATTGGTTTCAAATTTTAATATTCATTTTATTATATATCTCTGCACTCTATTTTATCTTATACTATTTTATCCTACTTTTTATCCTTACTCTATCTTACCTTACTGCATTTATCTATTTTATCCCACTGGAGTCTATTTTATCCTATTTTACTGTACTTTATTCCATTTTATTGTATCTTACAATAAATCATTTGTATCTTACAAATCAGCATTTGGCTGATGCCTATGCTTTGATATGGTCAAATGACTAATCACTAAAGTATACCACATACATATATACAAGCTGCAATGGCTGAATTCACACATCAGATTAAGTCAGAACAAAACCAAACCCTTTTTATCATGATGTGCGAACCCAGCCACTATATTAAGAATAAATCATTGTGTTTCTTTTGAGAGTTTGTCTTTATTTAAAAGGGGAATGTTATTAGGAATACAGCATGATTAGTTGACACTCATGATGCTAATATTTTATTTGATAATCACTGTTAGCATACAAACAATTTAGAAGTAATAAACAATGTTGATGGGTCATCCTAATCCTAAATTTGCATTTAAGATGTTGTGTATCTGTGGTACTTTCAAAGGCTATACAAAGTCTTTGAAAGAGGTGGTTTGCTATGAATGAAAGTGCATACTGAGTACCTCCTCTTGCATTGCTAAAGCAGCCTAGTAATTTGCAACATTTGTGCAGGTGCTTTGGAGGTTGCTACACATGAAAAGTAGCATGGCTATGCATGCAGATGTAAGTGGAGGCAGCCAGAACAGTTCTGAAATAACCATGCTACTCTTGCAAACAATGCAGTTCTCTGAACAAGTCAAAAAGAAATTCTTTGTACGTGCACCCAAGCTCTGAGTATGAGTACTATTGTTTATTTTAAAATTTTCTATATTGGCTGTCTTGCTATGTAGTTCCAGACAAGATTTAATGTCAGTGATGGTGAACCTTTTGGGCTTGGCATGCAAAAATTCAGAAAATGCCTAACTTGACTCTGGTGGAGTGTCACACTCCCCCTGAACAAAAGAGAAACAATTCTTTACATATTCATTTAAAAAAAAAAAACAGTCCAGTCATGCGTGGTGCTATGTATTATATAAACAAATGTCAAATAATTACAAAAATGAAATATGAATAAAACAAACTCAGTTTCTTTGATAACTCAAACAGGGAAAATAGTTGTTGTTGGGTGTTGGTGAATGCTGGCATGTCACCCAGAGCATTGTGGCATGTCACCTTTGACATGCATTTCATAAGTTCTCAATAATTCTTTAATGTAATTACTTTGCCTTTGCTTCCCTTGCTATTGAACTCTTAAGACAATATTGTGCAACTTTTTTTTTTTTTTAAGCTGAATGTTTCAGGTAAATTAGTATTTTTAAAAAATGGGCTTTGTGTTTGGGAATGCATGGAAACAAAGGGTAACTCTACTGGTTTATAAATGAACATGAGATCTCTGGAAGGCAAATCTCTCTATTTCTACTCTTTAAAAAAATGGCTTCAAATCACCTCACCAAGATTCAATCAAATTTCAGAGGCATGTCTTTAAGCCATTTGAGAGACTATTTAAAGCTGGAAATGGGAGCAGATCATCTCTTGGAAGTTTCCATCTTTATTCCCACTTAAATCATCCCTTGCCCCAATAAGACTTAAAAAGAAAAAAATCCTGTCCCTTTGGTAGTAGCAACATCCATCTGATGGGATTTCATATGGCTATCCAACTAGTTTATAGGCTTTGATCCCAAGTCTGATTTTGGGAGGAGAATAGAATTTTCTCTTTTGCTATATTCACCTTCCCCAAATCTTTCTCTGAAATTCTGTTGAGGATATACTTCAAAAATATTGGAGTGGTATAGAAGTCAAAGGAAGGTTTGATAGAAATATCAGCTTCTAAGGAAGAACATCTTTGGATTTAAATTCGTTAGGTAAATCTTATAAAAACATTCTTCCTGAATTTTGGTTATGTGGACAATCTTTAAAGGAAACAAAAATAAAAGCCTTCATTTTAAAAAAAAATGGTATTTGATGATTAACATAAACAGTCTTAGAGGAATTCTTACATACGAATATCTATATAGTTTAAAGGAGAAAAATGTGTTTAACTGTTCTAGTGCTAAATAATCATCAGTGTTCAAACTACTTTACAGGTGTTGCTAATTATTGGGTATAGCAGGGCTTACTTATTGTGTGTTTAGCCGGAAAAACACAATTACCATGCTTGGTTACCTCACAAAATGGAGATCTTAAACCTCTTTGACTTGCAAGTTGCTAACTGATGAGCAATACTTGCCAAAAGTTAATGAAGAAAATCTGGTAAGAAGAAAATCTTTCCACAGAGATGGAAATTGGGTTAAGGAAAAGTGAGAGAGCAAAACCCATTATTTAATAAATACCCAATAGTATTTATTAAAATAACCTATGAGATAAAGTGAACAATTTATTATGCAGTTTTTTCCCATTTTGATAATTACAAGTTATCTATCATTTGTATATAAGATAATTTGTACTTATCATACTTAAAGTGCTAAGAAAATGTGCAGTGTATTTTAGACCCTGGTGAATGTATGTGTGGGTTTTTTTGTTTTGTTTTTTTAGCAAGCAGACTTGATCTCCCTTGGGAAGGTTGTGCTGGCTTTGGCTTGCAATTCTTTGGCAGGAATTCAGAGAGAGAATTTGCAGAAAGCGATGGAGCTGGTGACAATCAACTATTCCTCTGATTTGAAGAATCTTATTTTGTAAGCTACTTTGAAACCGTCACAAAGAAAGGTTGATTATGCAATGATAGTGCATTGATTTGTGGGGGAACTTCAAATATGTGTGTATGATCTGCTCTGTATGGATATTTTGACATTAGAGAAGCATAGCTATGATAAAAATTCTTCATGATCCTAGAGACACAGAAGAATCCCTTTGAGGAGTTGTAGGAATAAAGCTCATTCACCCAGCCAATAAGGAAAAATAAAGTCAAATTTTAGTTAACATAAATCAGTATTTTTAGAACACACGCGTGTGTACACTGTCTCCTTAACTCCAAATTTTGGCAGTCTGCAGTCACTTAGATGTTGGCTGCTGGACCTGCGTATAACATAGTGTACTAAAAATTATTAATGCAAGATCTAGGTTCAAATTCCAGTTTAGTCATGAAGCTCACTGGGTGGCTTTGGGAAATCAGTTGCTTACTCAGCCTAATCTGCCTCACAGATCTGTTGTAAAAATAAAAGAGCCACATATGTTGTCTAAGATCCTTAGAACGCGAGCATAGGATAAGATGAAAATTATAATACGATATTGCAGCGATATTTATAATAGCATTATAATCTTACCTCAGAATGATCCTGCAGAAATGCTGACTCATTATAGAAGCTTGGTTGAAAGCAACTGCATCATTTACTGGCAATATAAAGAAGCTATGTATTCTTTCTGAAATTTTAATTGTAAATCTTTTCTAATATGAAACTCAGTGAATTGTTGCTGTAGTACTAGGGCTTGGCTATATAGAAAATAGATTTTAGGTTCTATTTGTATACCATGCTCATAGTGATAACAGTGCAATATGATAAACTGGAATTGATACTTGATAATTAATTGTTTTAACACAATTAATTTGGAATTCAAATGTGATTTGATCATATTTAAATTTAATACCAAAACAAGCATTTTAAATTTTAAAAAAAAGGGATAACAGAGCTGTGCTCACTGCCAATTGAGGAAGTTTATAAAAATTGTGATTGAACTTGGCTGTTTAAGTTTAGTTCATCAATCTAATTTTCAGCCTGGGGATTGTATTGCAGCTTTTTGTTCTACTAACAGTTATGTCTGATCACATGATAACATCACTGGGTAGGTGGCGCCAAAATATTTTGGCTTGTCATCTGAAGGAAGGAAATAGAATGTAGAAATGGTTATATTTTGCATTACAGGGATTTAATAGTCAGTTTCCTTCTTTTTGACAATTAAATTAGCCAAATGTCCTATTGCTGAAAACCAGCCATTTAGTCACTGAATTTTAGCAATGTGATGGGACAGTGTTCTGGGAGTTCACATGAAATCTTTGTTTGCCCATACCTAAATATCAGTTGTAATTGACTTCCTATATGTAATTTATAGAGTTACAAATACTTTCATTGACAAGGATTTTCTTTAGAAGCCCAGTTATAATAATTTTTAGGAATTTCCTTTGATAGATATTTGCTGACTGACCAAAACAGGCTTCGAAGTGTCAATGATATCATGCCTATGATTGGTGCAAGATTCTATACTCAGTTGGATGCTGCCCAAATGAGGAACGATGTTATAGAAGAAGATCTTGCAAAGGTAAAACATCTTATTCTATCATACACTGTACACTGCAGTCTGCAGTCAATTTTTTTTTTCATACCCTGACAATGGACAGATGGATGTAGCTTGTTTCAGGGCATTTTCAGGATATCATAGGTATTCAGACTTTTTCCTATGAGCTACAAAGTCAGCTGAGAAAATACTTTGGGAGTTGATCATTGGGTTTCCAATCTCTGTTCATATAAACAGCCATGCTGGATTAGGCCAGTGGTCTTTCTGGTACAGCATCCTGTTTGTATGGATACGAAAACCACAAGCAGGACATCAGTGTGATACTATTTTATGTTTTGCAGTAATATATTCAGAAGTTTATAGTCTCAGATATTGGGGATAATATATAGCCAGGAATTACAAGTATGTATGTATGTATTTAGCAAATTTAGCAAAGTAGCTATGAATTGCTTTATCCTTGATGAGTTTGTGTCATAACAGCCATCCAAGTGATGTCCATAATTGCCCTTTGGGATAACAGCTCAGTAGTTTTAGCTGTGTGAAAAAGTACTCCCTTTTATATGGCTAGTTTTGTTAGATGTCAGGTTCTAATACTATGATGGAGTGAAGGAAAAAAATCATTTTCCTTACTGTCCACTCCATATATACTTCTAAATACTTCAGTCATTTCTCTCTCTTTTTTTCTGGTCTAAAAAGTCACTAATGGTTATAACTTTTTCTTATGGATAGGGTTACAATTTTAGTACTGATATTTTGCATATTACTCAAGGTTATTCAATACATTGTTTTAAACCCCTTAGGACATTTGTATTTTTATTTCATTTTCTACTGAGCCCCAATATCTGCCTTTTTCAGAGGAGTTGCACACTTATCAACACATTGAGATCTCATAGCTTTGATTCTCTTGACTAGCCCTCTGCATAGATTATCTAGCATTTTAGGAACAGTTACAGTACCCTACATTACTGGTGCCAGTGTGTACCACATTTGCTAATTTCCCTACCGCACTCTACCAGATTGTCTATATTTGCATTTTAATCACCATAAATAGGCCAATACCATATGGATTCTTTCTCAAAAGTCTCCTTTGTGAGCCTTGCTTCAGGCACATCCTTGGTGCAAGGATTACCTGTTTATCCTCCAAGGAGTATCCCCTCAAAGGGATCAGTTCTTCCTTCATTGGAATTGCGCCCTCTATCTCCATGACACTTCATGTTCTGTGACGGTGGAAGAACTGTCATTTTTACAATAGGATACAGGTGTCATAGTTCTGAAAGTCTTGCTTACGTATTACTCTAACTCACTGTTACTTCCCATAGGCGTGTGTGAATTCAGTCATAGTCTGTGCTGCTGTTTTATCATTGTAGCTAGTATTAGCATTGGAAGGGTTACAAACTGCCGGTTAAATTATTTAACAGAACAGAAAAGGAAGGACTTTACTCTCTTGGTAAACTTGAATAGGTACCTAACTTTTTATCTTGGCACTTTGTCACTGGGCTGAAATATTTAGAAATTGGGGCTTCTTTTCATTTGTAGTATTTGTGATTATTGCTGTTGCTGCCGTTATTGTTCCTCAAGCCAATTTGTCTCTTAAATCTTGTTTTCAGGAGGTTCAGAATGGAAGATTATTTCGTCTTCTTGCAAAATTGGGAACAATCAATGAAAGGCCAGAGTAAGGAATTCAGAATTTTCTGCATTACATTATTGTAAAAATGGCATTACAGGGAGAACACAAATAATCATGTATGATGGAGTTCCAAAATATATCAGGCTCTGAAAAGATGAACTAGGTTATTTTTATAATATCCCCACCAAAACTTTCTGGTATGTGATTTTTATATACGTACATACACACACACACACAAACACACACAAAACACATGTATATATGTATTACTCATGGCCTGGATGGACAATCGCATCTTGATTTGAGGTTTGTCTGAAAGCTGAAAATAATTAGTGCAAGACGATACTTTATAGAATTTAACAATTTCCTGCATTTTCATGAGACTTGTAACTGTTTTAAACTCCAAACTGTTAGTTTCTTTTTGGGAAGGTATTTCAGTTTTTTCTCCCAACAGCAGCAAACAGCCTCCAAGTGCATACAGTGGTACAGTGCCAATTCTGGAGACTGGGAACAAAAATTGATATTTATAGAGAATGCATTCTCCTGGACACTGTAAGTCTGACTGCAGCAATGAATGATACTGAACGTGAAATTATGTAATAGAATATTTCATGTTGAATGCTGGAAATTACAATTATCACATAAAAGCCTCTATGATATATCTTTCAAAATAACCAGATTATTTCAGTGAGAGAAAAAATACGGAGCTTGACTAATTTAAAATTAATTTAAAAGCAGTAAATTTTAGGAATCTGATCAAATTGAGGAAGTCAATAAATCCCATAATAATAAATGTATAAATGATGCTGTTGGCATAATGAGCTTTTGCTCTCTTCAATTCTGAAGACTTCTTTTTCTTAAAAATATAACACATATAAATAAATACATGTAGCCTGAGCTGTGTGGGTGCCTGTCCTGTTAATGAGAAACATAAACATTCTGTTTTATGATAGGTTCCAGAAGGATCCAACATGGTCGGAAACTGGAGACAGGTATCTCCTGAAGCTCTTTAGGGATCATCTTTTCCATCAGGTGACAGAAGCGGGTACTCCTTGGATAGATCTCAGTCACATTATCTCTTGTCTTAACAAGGTAAGCTAGAACTTCAGTATTTTTCATTCATCGCAAATTCACTGTATTGTGTTTCTTCCTCACTTTTTTCCTCCCTTTGGAATGCAAGCAAATTTCTCTTAAAATGCATATAATTGTCATTGTTGTTAGCAGTCACATAACTCTGTGGTGACACTTTAAGGTGTCACAAGCTTCCTAAGTTGGGTTGCTGCATGTGAGAGACCTGTTTCAGAAAAAGCACCGAATAATAGTTTAGCAGTAAGGAATTTCAGGTAGATAAACCTCAGTATCACACACTCTCCTTTATTCCTGTAGCATGGCCATGAGCAACATTTTAATTTTAAAATAAATATGGTTTATTTCATTTTACATAATTATGGTTAATTTAAACCAGTAAACAAGTTCTGATGAAACCATGATTCAAGACAACAATTTATTTTTTAATAATGTAATACAGGAAACTACAACACCAACCGGGGGAACAAAAGATAAACAGTGGTTATACTATGAGGAATAAAAACCTAGATATATTATGCTGATTAAAATAACTGAAGCATGACAAAAAGAGAAAAAAAGACTAATAGGAAAAAAGAAAGAAAAGAGCCATATATCAGTATAAAACCCATTCAGTTGTTAAACTTATCATTAAATCTAGACCATATTGAAATATATTGCTCCATCTTCTGATTTTTAGAAAACAAAGGCTTTTAAATAATAGATAACAGACTATATCTTGAACCCCATTCTTTAAAATCAGAAGAATAAGTTTTTTCCCCACTTATATAAAATGATCTTCTTTGCTGTGTCCCAAACTTAATAGAGCCAAAGCTCTTCATTCAATGTTTTAGGAATATAGTTGAACATCACATTCAGGTCTTTATAATATTAATTTCCAAAATTGTATTGACATAAATTATAATTTGAAACCAAAATGAAGTTATAGCTGGACAGGACAAGATTGCATGGGTTAAAGAGTCTTCAAATTTCTTACAGCGTCAACACACAAAGAAAAAAATCAGATGTCCCATCATTTTAAAACATTTTGAGGGATCCAGTAAACATTAAATAATAATTTCTGATTAATTGGTTTCATTTTTAAATCATAAGAAGTGTATTTTATGTTTTTTAAGATCTGAATCCATTAATTCTCCAAAATTGAATATTCCAGTTCTTCATTCCACAATTTGGAATGAATTGTCATTGTCCGCCCATCT